CACGTACATGCATAGTTCAGTTGTAGTTTTATTTCAATTTGGTTTAAACTACATATGTGTATTTTTCTTTATTTTTCCATTAATATTGTCTTTTTTTGGTCCTAAAGAGAATAAATATTAATAAAAGTTAAAATTTACTACAAATTTTTATTTTATAACGTCACCCCCACTGGCCAGGAAGGCCCCCTTTTAACAAACTCAAAGTGGCCCATGGACCACCAGTTGATCATCACAGTTGTAGCACGTGTTGCTGCTCTTTTCATCAGTGAGGGGGTCTTTTGGTTGTAAAGGCTGCAGACCCCTGGCCCTTCCTTTATTGCACTGTAGCTACGGAGCTTGTTCTTACTTCAAAAACTGTCCGAAGTCTTCGCACATGGTCTCACAGCCAGGCCACTTGCACACACCATGACCGTACAGWGGGTGGGTTCCACCGACTTCTTCGTGTAGTGAACTAGAGGCGGATGTGAAAGAAGAAAAACAAAAAGAGAGAGAAAGAAAATGAACACACAAAGCAGAACAACAAGGATTTGGATATTGGGGAGAAAAAAAGAGACAAAAATGAGCTGATTAAAGCAAAAAAAAAAAAATCAATCTTTCCAACTACATTAAGTCATTGACAGCGTTGACCTGTGTGTGTTAAGAAAATAGGTTCCACTAACGTCCCCTGTGGAAATCTCCACTGAGTTGGAGCTTTGTCTCAACCAAAGCCACCGTCCCATCTTGTAAAGCCATTATGAGGAGGAGGGGTGCAGGCTTTCAAGTAAACATTAAAACTCCAGACAGCCATATAATTTTCATCAGGAGATTAATACACTGTGTAACTTATGTTCTTTGAGGACAAGCGAAGGGGGGAGGGGGGGCGGGGCGCAGTTCTGGCGTTTTTCAAATGGCACCCAAATAAGTTACGACCCTGCCTAGACAGCACATCCTATTAAAGATGACAGTTTAACCTTTAGGCTTGGCCCTGGTGTGTGTGTGTATTTGACCGTGTGTGAAAATGTGAATGAGAGCACTTGTGTGTGTGTCTGCTTATGGGTTATGGCCGTGCGTGCATGTGTGCGGTCGATGACGACATGTGCGAGCCTGCGAGTGCTGGCAGAGCTCACGCTGTGTTTTACAGAGGGGCTTTCCCCGCATCGATCCACGTGTTAGTAAGCAGCGCTCCTGACAATACTCCATGTTCGATCATTAGGAGACGCCACGCTCTCCCTGGGGGCACGAGCAGATAAAAAGTCTGGTTTTCTTTTCTTCCTCGCCTTCTCATTCATTCTTTCCCCTTCTCTTCTTTTAAAGATATCCGAACTTCCTTTTATTTTTTTTTAATTATTGGTGCCGGAGAGATAGCGTCTACTTTAAACCAATTACACAGCACTTCCACCTTTAGTGCAAGTCTCCACGCAGACACACACATCTCCATCTCAAGTCCTTATTATAATATCGCCCAAGAAAAGCCTTTGAATAATGCATGGCCCAGATAGGCAGATATGTGAACAGTCAGTGTTTCGGTTGCTGGGTGCATTTACAAAAGACGCCATCACAAGGATAAACATCCCGGAAACGCCACTCAAGGCATCACATATTCTGTTTACATGACACGCAAGCAAGGAAGGTAATTTTCAAAAGAGAAAAGAAGAGAGAAAAGCACTAAATACTTAATGTACAAGGGGGTTACCTTGTCTTGTCTGCCAGAGAGGTTTGTTCTAAGTGTGCCTGCCTGCTTGGCTTTCACTCCCTGCTTTTGATATGTGTGCGTAAGATAAGTGTGTGCAATGGCACGTGTGGTCCCCTGGGAGAATGAGGCTTTTGTTTTTTTTTTCTGTAATATTTCCGAGACACTAATAAACTATTGAATAAATAAACAAAACATGCTGTTTTCCCTGGAGTTCGGATAAAACATGAAACGACAAGCATGTAAATCTGCTGTTGGTATCTTCTCTGTGCAGCACTAAAAACTGAAACTTTGTTTTTTTTCTTTACCTTTCTCGCTCCCTCTCCCTTTCGCGCTCTCTTCTGTGGTTGAGGGCRGGCGACTGTCCGTTGGTGATGGAGTGGTGAGTGATGGGCGGCGATGTTTTGGCGGGATTGGAGGAGGAGGAGGTAGTTGTAGAGGAGTTGTTGGTGGAGAGGTCCAAACCGCCGCCACCCACACCGGTGCCGGGGCCACTGTTGCTGTGCTTGATGCCGTTGTCCTCGATGGCGTGGCCGCCGCCTCCTCCGGTCACGTCTTTCCACAACTGCTGGAGTTCTGCGGGACTCAAACCACCTAGAAACAAACACGACCCATTGGGTTAGAGGATAGATTTTTGAAGCAGAAGACAGCTCAGCTAATTTTAAACTCTTACCAGTGCTCAACGATTATACACCCTTACTTTTTCTAATTTCATATGAACCTGCCGAACTGAAAAACACAACGATTGACAGGAAGTCATGACTCGCTCTACACTGGATCTGATCAGGTTTGAGGGTTCAGTTGACTCATGAGGAGCGATGATTGGTTAAAGGAAGTCCTAATAATTCCTGCTTTTATCGGTACTATTGCTTTACACCCCAAATGAAACAAAAATCTTGACTTTGTAAATGTCCTGATGCATCTCAGTAATCCAGGTAGAAAAAAATCAAAAAGAAAAAATAAGTAGGTCCTCTGGATGGGTTCTTCTTTAGTGAAAMGTTTCGTYTCTCCTCCAAGAGACTTCTTCAGTCTGATGAGTTTCAGGTGAACTCAGCCTTATAAGCACTGCCTCCACATGGTGGACAAACAGGTTAGTCACATGCAAAAGAGGGCCATCGCCTAACAATAGGCTTGATTACTTGATTACTTGGCTTGACTAAATAGAGCTAACCAAGCCTAATGTTAGGCGATGGCCCTCTTTTGCATGTGACTAACCTGTTTGTCCATGTGGAGGCAGTGCTTATAAGGCTGAGTTCACCTGAAACTCATCAGACTGAAGAAGTCTTGGAGGAGAGACGAAACGTTTCACTAAAGAAGAACCCATCCAGAGGACCTACTKATTTTTTCTTTTTGAYTGACTTTGTAAACTTTTACTTTTAAAAAAAGTTTCAAGCTATCTCCTAAAACTTGTTCACAATAAGAAGCTTTCCTCACTTTTTTTTTTGCGTTTCACAATGACTTTAATGTAACAACAGTCTCAGTTTTTGTCTGTTCTGCCTTAGAAAACTTGTTTTAAGCTTGGAAAGTAGTTACACAACCCACCAACAAAGATCATCCTGCCTGTTGTTTTCCATCTCCACCATTTTGGTGGTAAACAACAAACACAAGTGTTTACTTGGCTCAGCAGGAGAAAATGGAGCCTGTTCTCCCCTCTCCCTCTCTGTTTGTCCTTTTATTCATCTCATATGCTTCTCAGTAAAGGCAGTAAACAACAACAACCACCACTGAAAGAGGCAGGGAGGGTTGGGGAGCRGGGGGAATAGAAAACAACATAAACAGAGGCAGAGCTGAGAGAGAAACAAAGAAAGCCACAATCAGACGAGTAGAAAGAGAAGAGGGGGGAAAAGAGAATGGAAGACTAAACAAAACATTTATGTGGAGCGTTAAGGACAAATTGGATGGTAGAGGAGCATACGAATGAGGGGGAGGCAGACAGATACACTTAAAGATAACGCAACACCAACATGTGCATACCAATAGGAACAACTAAAACAGGCCAGAGAAAAAAAAACAGAAGAGACACTTAAAGGAAATTCACTTACACCTGCACACAAATCACAAGAAGTCACGTGCTCAAATATCACTCTTCCTGCCGCTTCATACCTCCACCCGTCCTTTYGTTCCCGCTTTCGGCTTACCTGGTGGGGGTAGGGTCTGTCCGGGCAGGGCAGCCTGGCCCGGRGCGGGCCCTGGCAGCGAGAGCAGGCCCTGCCGCTGCATGTTGAGCAGGTGCTGCTGCTGTTGGAGCTGCTGCATCTGCAGGAGCTGCTGCTGGAAGACGAGCTGCTGGGCGGCCAGCTGCTGTTGCTGCTGTTGTTGCTGTTGTTGCTATAGAGAGGAGGAGGAGGAGGAGGAGGAGGAGGAAGAGGGGAGCACAGAGAAAAAAAAGGGGGGAGTGGAAATTACAGAAGAATTAACAGCTGAGAAAGTGTCGTGTGTGTGTGTGTGTGTGTGTGTGTGTGCGTGTGTGTGTGCGTATAGAGTCCATACTCACTTGTCTCTGCTGTGACCTTAGCTATACCTCTCCTCTTCTTAAGTCTTTCTGCAGGTTTTATCTCTGTCTGCGCTCACTAAATCTTCCCTCCTGTTTTTTGGGCTGTACCACAATGATGCTGCCTTCCTATCTCCTTGTGGGTCAGCACACACACACACACACGCATTAAGACACAAAGCAACACTGACAGAGCAGCTCTCAAGCCTGACAGTGTATGAGGCTTGTGATTGTGTGTGATACTAAGCCTCTGTCATGACCCTCCTGCACCCCCCCTGAATAGCTAATTGTCTCGCCTTCACTGATGGGTCTGTTACAGCTTATTTGACCAGAGGGGAACTTGCAGGATGAGAGATTTACAGCTTCACGTGCACATGGGTGCACAGTCAACAYGTTTGGCACTGTGCCACCGCTGCCTCACTCGCTTGTTTATCGCTGAAACGCACAGGCTACTGCGTAAGCCTCGTGCAAAACAACAAACTGAAAAACATCACTAATAAATGTCAAAGAGGTCATTTTTACCGATTTCATAAAATATATAAAAGTCAATTATTGTTTGTTGTTTACGTTCAAAGTGTTACATTAAATTATCTTTGTTTTATAGGTCAGGAAGTAAAAAAAAAAACTTGTTTAACTGCCACGTTTATGTTTTCAGATTTCCTTTCTTCTGAGAACAATGTGTGCGAGCAGCGTGTTCCGCTTATGTTTCTGCCTATATTAAAGTGCACCTGAAAAAAAAAAAGTCTGGAATTGAAGGGACTGAGGACAGAGAGGGGAGGGGGGAAAACTTGTGATGCACTCACTGGAAAACAGGCTGCATAATAGACTTGTGAGGGGGGAAGCAGTTTGCCCCCCACCAACCCTCCAACCTGCCTCAAGAGAAATAAAGGAGCAATTTCTATTCCATATTTGATGGCGAGGCCCCTGAAAAACTCTATTCACAAATCCAAACAGAAACAAAGCCGCCGGGAGGTCAGTTGCGACTTCCTGTAAGGGGCAGCATAATGGGCTGATTGAGGAGACACTGAGAGCTGCGTTAGAGAAAAGAAAAAAAAAGAAAAAAGGGAAGAACATGTGGGTTTATGTGATACCTTTTTTTTTTGCTCTTATCAATTTAGATGCTTCCAGTRCTGTCTGGATGTGGCCCCCAGACAGACTCCCAAGGTTCAGCATCAACACATTTACGCAAATATGCTTAAGGCTGTCACGCTCGTCTCCTCTCTTCTGATAGCTGATAGGAACGAGGCAGAGCCGTGTCTGTTGACCAGCTGCCTGTCACTGTGATTTATGAGTGGCGTACACTGGAACTCTGGTGGCTGTGTGTGTCTTGGCTCCCACAGAAACAGTTTATTAACAAGTTTGGAGCATAACTCGTTGCTTTTTGTTCATGTTTCTTGTATAAATGAGCGAGTTTGTGTTCAGAAGCCACTCAAAAACACCAATAATGAAGTCAAACTATTGAAAGTAGCAGAAATAGCAACACATACATGTGTCCAGTGGTGGGATGTAACTAAGTACAAGTACTTTCTTGCTGTACTTAAGTACATTTTTCATGTATCTGTACTTTACTTAAGTAGATTTCACCATGGGTACTTTTGTCTTTTACTCCCTACATTTTACATTAAGTATCTGTACTTTCTACTCCACTACATTTCTGTAATGCGTTGAATTACAAAGTACATTCATGTCACGTCGATTTATTTTTTATTTTATTTTATTTTATTTGTGGTTTATTTGATTTTTTTTTTTTAGAAAATAATCAGTGGCGAGAGGGGGAATTGCTGTAATTTGTCCATTGAACAAAGCAGGAAAGTACCATTACACCCTCCTTCATAAAAAAGCAGAGCATCAGCGTGCCCACAATGGTTTCCACCAGAGGAAATGTGCCTTTCATGGCCTTATTGAACTGGTTCAAAAAAAAAAAGACTTGTTGAGATTTGATAGAGGAGGTTGGTGGTGAATTTACATCTTCTGCAGCTGTTGTCACAATATGTGATGATGCACAGAATCACAAGTCCAAGTGTGAACAGTGTCACAGAGTGTAAACACAAAACTATGCATTCTCTGCAGCATTGTTCACTAAAATGGCACCATTGATGTATTAAAATATACATACAGTAGGCACACTTCATGATACAGTATTGTAGACCATTAGGGAATACATTAAGCAAGTACTTTTACTTTTAATACTTCAAGTATTTTTAAAAGCAAGTACTTACTTACCTTTACTCAAGTAAAATGTTAATGTGGTACTTTTACTTTTACTAGAGTACAATTCTTGTCTGTTTATCTGTACTTTCACTTAAGTACAGTGTTTGAGTACTTTCTCCACCACTGAATGTGTCATGAAAAGGGATTGGTAGTGTCAACTGTTTTTCCACATGCAGTTACCTCTTTAGCCTGCTTGCCAGGATGCTGCTGCTGGAGAAGCTGCAGATGAAGCTGCTCCTGCTGTTTCTTGTAAAACTCCTGCAGGTGTTGCTGTAGATGCAAACAAAAACCCAAAACAATAATCRGGACGAGGTTAACCTAAGCTCTTMGTTAGCAAAATAAAAATGCATACTTGCTGAAGCATATTGCATATATGGAAGTGTTGTGTTAAAAGTGACCAAGTTGCGCTGAAAATAAGTCAAACTAAAAAGGTGATGCATAATGAATAGATAAGTTCATTCACTTGCTGCAAAAATGCTGTGCAATGGCCTGCGAATGCACTGAGAGCAAATCTTGAGTGGAGGCGCAGTAATGAAGAGGGATAATCAGATTGACTGACAYTTTTAATTAAACTTTTCTCTTTCCCTTAATCAAATCTGTGAATGAGAAATGCGCTTCCTCTCTGACACGAGCCGACGCCAAGTGTGCGCCTATCTCGAGTTGGTTCCAAATATTACATCATCCATCAGCTATCACTCTGCCGCTCGTGCGCCCCGCTCTCTCAGTCCCTGATGGATGCTTGTCAGGGAATTGAACCAGCGACACACCAGAGACAGTTAATTGGAGGTGACATGAACGAGTGCGTCAATTTAGAACTCTTCTTGGTAAGCGTGTCAAGGACACCGTGGTGTGCTGGCACGAGCGGCTGCTGGCACAGGAATGACTCAGGCTCTRCAGAAAATAGCTGTTTATGTAACTTCAAACTTTACATTTGGGTTTGTGTTGTACATATATCTCCAGCTCTGTCTCTAACTGTAGATAAACAAAAAAAAGTAAACGTTTATGCATCTACATTTCTGAGCTTCTGCRTCTTATCTACAACACAGCAACCTGCTGCTAACAAGGCACAGCTTGCATCAAGGTGTGCGTGCTCCTGCGAGCACTACGGGGTGTTTGTGTCAACGTGTTTGTTTTTGTTTGCGAGCGTGCCGTACCTGCTGTAACATCACAGCCTGCTGCTGCTGGAGCAGGGCCTGGAGCTGCTGCGGGGAGAGCACCTGCTGCTGGAGGATCTGCTGCATCTGCTGTGGCGTGATCACCTGGGGACTCATCATGGCCACTGACACTGGAACCTGGACACGGGTGAGGAGAGACGAAATGATGAAATGAGAGAAGAAGAAGAAAAAAAGACGAGCGCGGAGAGGGGCGAGACAAACAAGAGGTGACAGGAGAGAAAGGCAAACGATGGGAGAGCGGGGAGAAATGGATGACGAGATGAGGGAAATGGGAGAAAGTTTGAAAAATAGAGCGTAAGATGGCTTGGATCTGTTGGGAGTGTGATAATTGGTGGTTTGAGAGGTAGAGAGAGCAGGCCTCCCATGGCCGTGATGTTTGGCAGCCTAGAGGAGATGCTGAAGGACAGATGGGTGCTGTGCCTTTGTGTTGCTCATCTTATTTTCCTGCCTTTATCCTGCTGGGAAAAGCAGGGGATTTAAATAGACATAGACCTTAATTAGCAGGACTCTTGAACTCCCCCACTTCGGCGTGCCTATCAGTGCAGCTTTTGTGAAACAGCGTGGAAACACACAACTCTAAAGTTGATTAAAACTACGCTGATGAAGTGGACACATGGCAGGCACAATCATCGTGATGTGGTGGCCCATGATCGGGAGTTTGTGTTTACCTCATGCATTTATTTTTACACTAGACCATCGAGACTTCACTATTTATTTTTTTATCCACCCACAAAACCAGATTGTTATGGTCTGTGATGACACGGCTTTTACAAAGTGTCATTGTTCAGGCATTAATCAACAAGAAAAATAAACTGTGAAGGTAAGTAAAAGAATCTTATCATGGGAAAACAAAAACACAAATCACAGCATTGCTTTTAAATTCCTCTCACGCACGACGGCTTGCAACTTCTGAGGCAACAGATCAATAAACAGAAAACAATGTGAGGTTTTTTTTATGTTTTTCATTGCGCACACACCAACAGGGGAGTGTGAGCTACTGATTTTATCGTGGATCTTTAGTTGCACACAGCTGCTTAAAAGTTAAACAAATTTAGTAGAAAGTAAAAAAAATAAATCAGCTTGAGTGAATGATTTAGTGTCCAGCAGCAAAATAATGAAAAGGCACTTCACTACACATGTGCTCTATATAACTAGGTCTGTCRCAATAACACATTTTACTGGAAAATTAATTGCCTCAGAAATTACTGGGATAAACGATATCATTTGTAGACCATTTTAAACCAATATAATGATACCCCCACCCCCGAAACACACACACCCCTACCCATCTACCCTGCTTACGAAGCATACATAAKTTTACGAAATTTACGTGTGTAAAAAGTTACAAACTGACTGAAAACAACACACATCAACAGCTACTAACCCACCTCCTCTATTCAATCCAGTGCAGTTTTTTTTTCTGTATGTGTCGTCCTCTGATTTCAGGAAATAATTATGGTCACTTACATGCTGCTTTCAAAGTTTACGCAAGTTTACGAAATTTATGTACGTGAAAAAATCTCACAAACTGACTGAAAACAACACACATCAAAAGCTACTAACCCACCTGCTCTATCCAATCCAGTGCAGTTTTTTCTGTATGTGTCGTCCTCTGATTTCAGGAAATAATTATGGTCACTTACATGCTGCTTACAAAGTTGACGCAAGTTTACGAAATTTACGTACATAAAAAAAGTTACAAACTGACTGAAAACAACACACACAATAGCTACTAACCCACCTCCTCTTTCCAATCCAGTGCAGTTTTTTTCTGTATGTGTCGTCCTCTGGTTTCATGAAATAATTATGGTCACTTACATGCTGCTTTCAGAGTTTACGCAAGTTTACGAAATTTACGTACATAAAAAAAAGTTACAAACTGACTGAAAACAACACACAACAGCTACTAACCCACCTCCTCTATCCAATCCAGTGCAGTTTTTTCTGTATGTGTCGTCCTCTGGTTTCATGAAATAATTATCGTCACTTACATGCTGCTTACAAAGTTTACGCAAGTTTACGAAATTTACGTACGTGAGAAAAAGTTACAAACTGATTGAAAACAACACACATCAACAGCTACTAACCCACCTCCTCTATCCAATCCAGTGCAGTTTTTTTTCTGTATGTGTCGTCCTCTGATTTCAGGAAATAATTATGGTCACTTACATGCTGCTTTCAGAGTTTACGCAAGTTTACGAAATTTACGTCCGTAAAAAAAGGTTACAAACTGACTGAAAACAACACACAACAGCTACTAACCCACCTCCTCTATCCAATCCAGTGCAGTTTTTTTCTGTATGTGTCATCCTCTGATTTCAGGAAATAATTATAGTCACTTACATGCTGCTTACGAAGTTTATGCAAGTTTACGAAATTTACGTAAAGTTACGGACGGACCAGAATCAGAGTTTGTGAAAACAACAAACAACAGCTACTGACCCACCACCTTCATCCAAGCTGGCAYGATTTCTTCTACATGTGTCATCCTCTGGTTTCATAAAATAATTGTGGTCACCCACATGCTGMTTGTAAAGTTTATGCAAGTTTATGAAATTTACACAACTCTTGGCAAACCCAAGTTTTGGCACGGAGTGCATCCTGAGGCGTCACCAGCTTAAAGAAGACATCGGAAAACCGAAGACACTCACTGGACTGCAGAGGTTAAGAGATCAYGCGCTCGGCTAACCTGACGCAACATTTCACTCCTCCCTATGCTAAGGGGTAGAAAAGCAGGAGACATGAATTAAAATTATCAACCTCATTTTAATTTATTGTGTGATTATTTGATTTATAGCTTAACAGGAAATGCCTTTATATGGCATTTAAAAACACTATAATTGATCTTAAGTTTGTAGTTTCTGGCACAATAATATTTTAATATAGTGCTATCAGAGCTGGATGTTGCAGACAGCTTGATGTAATTCAACAGTTAAAGCATCAACAGTGTAACACCTTCACTGATTCTAATTGCARCGGTGTTTGGCTTGAAGCTGCCATGACAGTAGCTAGCCTATATGGTGTGTCAAGGGGCCAATAAGACATCCCTGTCCTCATCGCCAGCTAATCAAGCTGGCTTGATTACTTTCCATGCATGTCTCTCCTTCCTCCCTCCTTCGCTCTCTTCCTCTCCCTCTGTCAGGCCTTGACACGTCCTTGTTTAGCTCTCCTCTCCTCGAACGCGCCCCCCACCCCAGGTTTTTTTTCCCCCCTCTTTGATTAGCTGAGACATTTGCATGGTCACTACACATTTTTCATTTTAGAAGTCATTATGCATTAGTGGCTCCTGATCGCCCGCCTTGACTAATCCTGATGAACTGAAAATCACAGCTGAAGGTCAACTTCCAGCCGGCCCCGCTGCACATTCATATTCATATTCAAACAAATCCTGCCTCCATTGTTCATTAGGGTCTTAGAGAGAAGGGACTCCATCGAAGGTGGAGGAGATGGGAGAAGGAGGAGGAGGAGGATGTTGTGGTGCGTCTCTTTTCTTCTTCGGACTCCTCGATGCAAGAGGACAAGAGAAATTGCATTCACAATAAACGAGTTGCTGAACAAAAGCTGTCAAAAGTTGCAAATTAAACAGTCCGTGTGTAATTATGCAAATGCAGTGCTTACACCTTCAATGTTATTAACYCTTAAAGGTACATTTGCTAGGTAAGTAATTACCCTCGCAGTCACTCTTGGTTTTGTGTTAGATGCCATTACAATGGGACAAGTGCAGCAGAAAAACAACAGGAGAGATGCACACATTTAGGTCATTAATTGGGGGAAAGGTTCAAAGATGTTTAGGTCCACAGAAAGGATGCAGACAAACCCCATGAAGGCTTTACCACTAATATATGCGCATACATATGTAAAGTGGAATTAAATATAAATTGTACATTGTGTGTAGTGTGGGTGGTGAAATATAGGCACTCAAAGTCAGGTATCTGGAAATGAATGATGTAGGATTTCAGTAACACTGAATACAAAATGCACACAACTAAAACCGAGATCTGCAATATTAAACAGAAAACATTTGATCAAATATGTGGCTTGCTTCTTTGCTGTCATTAGCTTTTTAACCAAATGACTGATAATCACCAGGACCAAAAAATAAAAATAAAAAATAGAAAGAAAGAAAAGACAGGAGGAAAGAAAAGAGGGGAGAAAAGGCAGTGGCCCACATCCACTGTGAAGTGCAGCACAATGCTAATTCCAGCATTTAACTGCATGCTTTTCTGCTTGACGTATCAGAGGCTCCAAGATGAAAGCAGATAAGTAATTGCTCTCCTGGTTCTTATTCTTCACTGACAACCCATAAATTTAATTTTACACACACGTTCATTTACATTTTCGAGTATATGACATGATAATTGCGGCAATATAACACCTCCATTCTGCAGGATCCTGCAGGAGGGCTTGATTGACGTGAGCGCTGAATTGAAAGGAACAGGAGGCTGAATTGCCTCTCCTTGAAATGATTTTGCCACGAAGGGATAAAATTAATGAGCATTTAGTGGACGTTGGCAGTGGCGTAAACATCCACGCGCCGTGAATAGACTATCACAGAAAGAAGAGCAGTGATATCCAATTGGACTCTGCTTCTCTGTAATCCAAAAAGGCAAGGCTGTATTTCCAGCCCTGGTGCACAAAAAGTATTAATTGGATTTATTAAATTGTTGGAAATGAGCTACAGCTGATGGAGCCTCTGAGGTACTTAATAACTGAAAAGGTTAGTCTCTTTATCTTAATATTGCAAATTTGGAAGGAAAAAAAAGCTTGCAAATGACTTTAAAAAAAGAGACATTTGAATGTAACCACTAATTTAGAGACACTTCAAAATACCACTTGTTTTAAACCGAGCTCAACATTTAAACCCTTGTTTGTGTACCTTTGCGTGGAAAATAATGAGCCGCACTGACGTGAACTTTGAAGTTATGTGGTTTGTCCCCAAAGCTGAACAGCAACAACAAAGCACCTTTAAATTGGCTCATGATGCAAAAAACACCGAAGGGGGCCCACACAAGAACAAGCAGATCATTTCAACACTCTCGTCTTCCACTGTGCTTCGCAAAAGGTCAAGATCAGGTGCTTCCACGAGTCAAATCCACCATCCAAATCTCTCTAAGCAT